AAGTTCTAACTTCCCATACCTATAAAATCATAAATGAAGTTGTTTAGAGTTCTTGAGCATGTTAAGGCTATAAAAATCATTTTTCTGGAATTTTACAATGTTATTTCATATTTTTCACAAATTATTTCCCAAAACCACCTAGTTTAAGGCTTATACTTGCTAGTTTCCAAGTTTGCATTTCTAAAGAAAATTTCCACCTCAATCCAGGGACTACAAATGTAATTTCTGACTTTTATAGGACTTTAGGAAGTTAGGGTTTTAATTTCATAATTTTTCAAGTCATTTTCATGTTTTAAAACTATTCTTGACTCAGGTGTGCATCTAGGGTTTTACCTTTGACTAATGTTTGTAAATTAAAAACTTTTGTACATGATTCTTGTTTAATTCTTGAAATAGAATGTGGTACTGACTCGAGGCATATTGTGAAACAAATTCTTTAACCTCATTGGGTCTTGGGTGTTGATAGGTTGATAGACCAAATCCACTAAAATGGATGAATGATGTTGATGATATTTGAAACTCTAATCCCTTCCCTCTTCATCTTATTCCCATTTTTTATTGTATTACATGTTATGGGACGATGATCTCTATATCATTTATCCAAACATGAAGTACATAGATTTCTATTTACCGGCCTCAAAATAGGTGTGACTTCTACATAAGTCCACTTATAATTGCTTAATATAGCGCTAAATTTTATCCCGATTTGAGAAAATGGTCATTCATGGCCCAAACCTATGTTTGAAAGCCCAAGTATGTTAATTTGATCCCTTTGATCCAATAACCTTGAGATTTATTGTTAGGAGGCTTTGGTTCTACCAATCCTCCAATGGATCTTCAACAATTTTGGACAATACGGATCACTTAATCATCGTTGATCATTAAATGTTGCCTTGAGGATTCTAAAATGGATGATATACTTGACAAAAAGCAAATGCAACTTGTTGTTGAGAGGCTTTGGTTCTACCAATTCTCTAATGAGTTCTAAATGCAAGTTTCAAGATGGTCATCCAACTAACCATTAACTTCTAACAATTGACTTTATTTTATGCTTTTACTTTTATGCTTTTATTTTATGCATTTACATTTCATGTTATTTTCATCTTTTCTCATTTGAGCATTTTATTTTATGTCTTTTTATTTTTATTTTTTCTCACTTGAGCTTTTCTTTTCTTTTTGAAGATGCTTAATAATCAACATGAACCATAAAAAACATTAATGATACTTGGACTATTTGGTTACTATCCTTGGCATTATGGAGTATTGAACTTCTTGGACTTAGGAATAGAAACCTTGGCCTATGTTGGAGATCTTGTGACCTTAATTGATATTTTGTATGAAGCTCTTGAGGTTTAACTCAATATATTGGGTTGTTTTTTTGTTTTGTGTGCAAGTTATTGTGATTACATACTATGTCTGTAATCTGGAATTCATTTGTATACAACCGTTACTCTGTCCAATTTTTGTGAAGACTTAATACACTTGAAGTTTGGTTCTTTCAAGAGGTCTAGTATCTTTGCTTGATTGGTTTCAATCCAGAGAATGAGAATTCTATCTTGACTCATAATGTCAAGGATTGGCTTCTTGTTTGTTAGATGGTTCTTCTCCTTAGCTTTTACCTTATGCTTTAGGATAATCTCTTCATCTCCTCCCATATTCTTTAATTTCAAAATTCTTCTCCCTCATTTTGAAAACTCTTCTTGTTTATAAACTTGAACCACTTTCAAAATAAACTTGGACTTAGGTCCATGCATTTTCAAAATATTTTCATAAACAAACTTTAATCAACTTAATAATACCTTGACATTTTTGTGAGAAGACTAAAAGTAAATCAATCTCATTCAACCCATTTTGCCATTTTGGCTCTTATCTTTAAAATTTTCTAAAAAAGATTAGACTCTTGTCAATCCTTATAGTGATGCAAACAACTATACTTCTACAATATATAGTGAAGAGAGATATTTTTCACTTGGGTGTTGAGTGAGGCATTATTGATTTTAAAATCCAAGCCATATCCTCCACTTTGAGATGATGTAAATTCTCTTTTCTCATGATTGTGGGTAGTAAGTATGTTTTCCACACGGACAATGACGATGATGTCTTTTCTCATAAAACCAACCAGCACACTTGTGTTTTAAAATTTTTAAAGGTGAACTACGTGTACCCTGATCCCCTATTGCACGGAAGGTGGTACGTAGACACTAAAGGTTCGCAACCGCGGCGGGTGCAAAAAAATCATAAAAAATATTTCTTTTCTCACCTCCACCATCTATTTTTATACAATATTTTATAGCCAAAATATACAGGTTTTACAAAGAGGTTCCTGCGGAGTACCGTAGATGATTAGGGTGTTAATATCCCCCCTTTGCATAACCAACCCCCTTACCTTGAATCTTTGCCCCTCTTTTGGGTTATTCGCTCTTTTCTCAATCCTTTAGAAACAATAAAACATGGTGGTGATTTTTATTTTGATCTGTACAAGTCTAGTCAATCTAATGGCTTAGTCTTAAATATTTCTACCGCTACAATGTCTGCTTGGCTGAAAATATGAGGAGAGGAGGGGATGTACCTTTAAGACACTCTGACGATCTAGTGAGAAAGAGTGCAAAGAGATACAAGAAAGAAATTAAATTTTTTTAGTATGAATAACGGATACCTGACCCTCACAAGTGTGAGGGTTTATATAATGCTCCCGGCGCGTAGCCATTTGTTCCTATTTTTAGGCCTGAATATTCGGGTCCGCAAAAATATATAACTGCCAGGACTTGGTCAAAACGAGCAGTCGTGCCCGTAAGTAGCCTTTGCACCAAGCACTGAAGGGATTACGGGCAGAAGCGTTTCTGGTATGTCTACTATATGTGTGTCAAGCAGACTGTAAGACAGCTTCCCGCGGGGACATGAATGAGTCTCGGGCACCGATGGTCTTATTGCTCAAGGGGCATGGTCGACCAGAGATGTCTGGCAGGAGGTCCAGAGCTACTGGGACAGCGTTGTTGGGCCATGCAAAGGGTAAAATCGGATTAGGACAATTCTAATCATTGGGCTAGTCCAGAACAACATCATTGTCTAACATCACTAGTATGATCAATTTGGCATTGCTGGTGGAAAAAGAGGAATAAAATTTGGAGGTTGTTACCTCGAGGTTGACTGGTGGTCAATGACGTGTGATCGCCATTAAAGGTTGATGAGTGTCAGCCATTGAGGTTGGAGTAAAAAGAGGTTGTACGACGCTAAGGGAGGTTTTGAATCAAAGCCACACACACACACACACACACGCACACGCACACGCACACGCGCAAGCACACTCGCACGCACACGCGCACGCGCACGCACGCGCGCACGCAAGCGCGCAGGCACGCACACACACACACACACACACACACACACACACACACGCACGCAGACACGCAGACACGCACACACACACACACGCACACGCACACGCACACGCACACGCGCAAGCACACTCGCATGCACACGCGCACGCACACGCGCACGCACGCGCGCACGGAAGCGCGCACGCACACACACACACACACACACACACACACACACGCACGCACGCAGACACGCAGACACGCACACGCACGCACGCATGCACACACACACACACACACGCACTCGCACACACACACGCACACGCACACGCACACGCGCACGCACGCACGCACACGCGCACACACGCATGCACGCACACACACGCAGACACACAGGCAGACACACAGACACACACGCAGACACACACACACACAGACGCACGCACGCACGCACGCACGCACGCACGCACACACGCACACGCGCACACACGCACGCGCGCGCGCGCACGCACACACGCACGCGCGCACACACGCACGCGCGCACACACGCACGCGCGCGCACGCACGCACGCACGCACGCGCGCGCACGCACGCACGCACACGCGCACGCGCGCGCACGCACGCACGCACACACACACACACACACACACACACACACACACACACACACACACACACACACACACACACACACACACACACACACACACACACACACACACACACACACACACACACGCACACACACACACACACACACACACAACCTTTGTATATAATTGTAGAGATTAATCTTTCAAGTTAGAATGACCACAATAAACAACAAAACTATTCTTCAAAAGATTTAACATTAATGCGTGCTAAAAGTTGAGTTCAAACTCAAAACTCTTATTTTAACAGAAAAAAAATATCATTATCATCTCATCCAAATGTTTTTGGCTGATCTAAACTATTATTGATGGAATCAAATTTCTTATATAAATAAGTTGATAAGTTAAAAAATTAAAATAAATCAAATTAATCTTGATTCATAAAGACTCATAATATCTTTGACTTATAAACTAATTAATTCTACTTTATAAATGTATAAGAAGACAATCTATAAGTTATGACATAAAGAGAAAGGAGATAATGCACTTTACACTGTCCATGCATAATCATTAAACCCTAACATAAATGGTAAATAATTTAATCTCATAATAAAAATATTTTTCATGAAAAAATAAGTTGTGTGCTTGATAGTAATAATTTAAAAAGATTGCGAAATTTTTAAAAAGAAAAAAGAAAAAAGAAAAAGCTTTCCTAAAATCTTGGTCATGGTGCAACATGAGAGTGACATTCACGATCTCTCCACCTCTCTCTCTCTCTCTCTTACATCACACATACACTTTCTCTCTCATACTATATCTTCTCATCAAAACTTCCTCTGTTTCGGATCACCACATGACCGTTTCCTTCTTCTCTCTCTCTGCAACAAACACTTTTTTCATTTTTCTATTCTTTCATAGTTGTGGGATTCTTTGACCCACTTCTTTCTTTTCCCAAAAACTCTATTTTTCTTTCTTTTACAACCCCAAGGTACCCTTTTTCTTTTCCCATTCTTGTTCTTTCGAAGATTCCATCATCTGGGTCGTTTTCTTTTTGCTTTTTTGTCCCTTTTTCGTTGATGGGTTGTTGTTGTTGATGTCTGTAACGACCATTGAAGGAGTGGTTTCGAATTCTGAGAAAAAGATGGGGTTGGATGACAATGTCAAAAGCAATGAAGAGGATAATGATAATAATAATAGTAACAACAACGCTTCTCGTGTCGAAGGAAGTGATAATGAAGAAGGAGGTACACTTAGCAGATACATGAGTGAGACTTCTGTTGCTGCCACGGAAGACGAGGAGGATGATGAAGATAGGAAGATTGAATTGGGTCCACAATGTACCTTAAAGGAACAACTTGAAAAAGATAAGGTTTGATTTGATTTCTTTCGTTTTTTGTGTTTGGAATTTCTGAAATGAAAATGAAAATTTGTTCTTTTTTGTTTTGTTGTGATTTCAGGATGATGAGAGCTTGAGGAGGTGGAAGGAGCAGCTTCTTGGAAGTGTTGATATCAATGCTGTTGGAGGTGTTTTCTTTTGTTCAATTGATTCATACCATTTGATATCATTTTTAGTTTTTTTGGTTTTCAATTTATGTTTCTAATTTTGACATATTGTTAATTCTTTGTATTGCTTTTCTGCATTGTCACAAGGCATTTTGTTATATATATGAAGATTTTGAATCATGATCCTAAATTATTATCTTATTTATAATTGTTATCATTGCAATTTGTACAATTTCTGTATCATTATCTGATAATTGCAAATGTGTCAAATACACTCGCATGTCGCTGGTGTTTTTCTTTTAGTTATGGTGTTTTGTTGAGTATGGCTCATTGTTTACCGATAAATGTTGAGGTCATTCAAGCTTGAGGTAACCTTGTTAACCTGGCCAGTGTATTTAAACACGAGTGTAACATGTAAACCTTAAGCTTGCATAATAAAAATGTAATGCAGATAGAGACATAGGTACAATTGGCCGAACTTTGTTATTAAATCTCGTATATTCTTTGTTTACGTGTTTCTTCTGTACATGGTTTGTTTTTAACCGTGTTTCTTATCTTATCTACCATGTTTATATAGACAAGATGCAAAATTTGAACTTTGAAAGTTTGTTAGTAGATTATAACTTGGTCTCATGAAAATCCATTGGTTTATTTAGAAAAACTTAACCTAACTTGTGGATTGTATATATTATGAGTAATTTAGAAACCTTGGAGCCGGAAGTGAAGATCGTGAGCCTTGCGATAAAATCTGCTGGTAGACCTGATATTGTTCTTCCAATACCAGAAGGAGGAAATCCAAAGGGTTTATGGTTTACTTTGAAAGAAGGTAGCCGGTACAGGTTGGTGTTCACTTTTCAGGTCAACCATAACATTGTTTCTGGTCTCAAATACACCAACACTGTCTGGAAAACTGGTATCAAAGGTAACTCATATCTCTCACAGGGCTTGTTTTGATTCACTTGTTCGAGTTACGCACTCATTGTTGAGCCTTATTGTTTTTTACAGTTGATAGCAGTAAAGAAATGATTGGAACCTTCAGCCCTCAATCTGAGACTTACACCCACGAGATGCCTGAAGAGACAACACCGTCTGGAATCTTCGCTAGAGGGGCATATACAGCTAGAAGTAAGGTAAATTTTGTTAACATATCACGCGCGTTTGGTAGAATCATTGTGTCACCGTGATTCCAAACATGCACTATTATCGCTGGTTACATACTTTTTGAAATTGAGTTCAGACAAAGGTGTAAATTCGCATCTACGTCAGTTCATGCTTTTGCGCATTTAATATCTTCATGCTTTTCATGAAACATTATTTGAAATACTATGAATGTTGTGGAGGCCTACACCTCTCTATTGCTTTCACATGCCAGCTGCTATAGGTTAACAAAAAAGAGTTAGTAATCATGTGAATCTGAATTAATGCTTACTATTTTGCATCTACATTAGTCCATCAATAAATGTTCTAATAAATATGGTGTTGGACTTAATATGCAAATCTTCAACCACTTTTCCGAAATTTGAATCATATTTGAATCCATTAAGTACTAACACGGACACAGGCTCAGACGTGTTGATGCATTTCTTTCGTATGATTCTTTTCAGTTTGTTGATGATGATAACAAGAGCTACTTGGAGATCAACTACACTTTTGATATCAGAAAGGATTGGCAGTAACTAGGATTCAGATACATAGCTGAATTCTCCTCCTTCTACATTGATTCATATGTTGAATTAATCCTTAATCATTGTTATTTAATGCTGAAATCTCCTTCAGTGTTTTAGTTTCTTCTTTTTCATTGTTTATTTGTTTATTTCTAATCCTGTCTGAGACTGGTAATCTTAACAATGATGAGAGGATTTTTGAAGGATGATATTGGTATTACTATTCATTTCATAGAGATAGTTTTGTCAATAAAATTGAATTTTGCCTCTTTGGGTGCATAACTATATATGCTTATTGCTTCTTTTTTTTCCCTTGGATTAATAAGCTTATTGAGTTTAAGTGTTTGTTTTGTTTGTCTTGTTGTTTTCATATGATAAATGTTTACTTGTAAATACTTTTATTTGGTCATTTAGGCTCTTTTCTTGGTGCACAATGAGTTTATATTTTTTAATATTCCCTTTATCTATTTTCATAAGTTCACTTGTCAACTTTTACAAATATTAAAAAGTTATTAATTAATTATTTTTGAGATTAAATATTTTTAGTACTTTTAAAAATTTTAACTTTTTTTATTTCTATAAATTTTTCTTTATTCCTTACAAAATAATTCTGCAAGTAGTTTGGGTCCCTACTATCAAGTTGATATATTTTCAAATAGTTCTTTTACAAGCATTTTAAAACATTATAAAACCATAAATAAAATCATGAAGAATGAGGAATGAAGTCAGAACCAAACAATTCTTCTATTTATTTATAATCTCTAAGGCACGGTGTTATGGTTCTTGAAAGGCATATTAACTAGTGATACTAAGATTTTGAGCAAAATTACTCAAAGTAGCAACAAAATTATTACTATCTCTGGTTTTATTTAAGAAAAAATTTACTTTTTAAATATATTGAATAATTAATGTACATGAATTATATAATATCCAGGTACATTAGTTATTAAGTATATTTAAAAAGTAACCTCTTTATAAATAGGATATAAAGAATATTTTTTAGATGTCTCTCCAATCTACAAGGTTTAGATTATCCGGGAGGAGTCTAATAGGGTTACATTGAGTGTTATATTGATCAAATAAACTTTTAATAGAATACCAAAAGACTTTGATATAAGTAAATTTGTATTAAATATCACAGGGAGTGTTAATCCAATACAAATAATAAGGAATAAAGTGTTGAAATATTAAATTAGATTTGTTAAAATATTAAATTAGATTTAATTTGATTAGATTTAATATTTAAATATAATCAAGTTGTGTAGACTCAAATCTAATTAGGGTTGTATATAAATAGTGTATCATCATTTGTACAATTTAATAATATAAATCCTTATTTTCTTTATTATTCTCTCTTTCTCTCCTCACAAAAAGTGTCTCACGCACTAATAAATTGATATCAGAGCCTGGTTATTGTTCTTGATCGAGTTTTCAAGAATTTCACGTCAGAGATCGTGTTTCTAGGACAAGTGAATCAACCGCTGCGAAGATGGCTAGTGATAAGGGCATTCTAAATTCTCTTCCAATGCTTGACGACAAGAATTGGATCCGATGGAAAAAACATATGCAATCCTTGTTTGGCTTCTATGAAACCCTATAAGTGATTACCGACGGTGTTTCTGCGTTGACTACAAATGCAATCGACGAACAGAAAAAAAATCACAACGAAGTCAAGAAGAAAGATTGCAAGGCTACTTATTGCATTCAGACGGCGGTTGATGCTGCTAATTTTGATAGAGTCTCTCATGCTGAAATGACGAATGAGGCATGAGATATTCTGGTAAAATATTATGAAGGAGGTGAGAAAGTCAAGGTTGTCAAGTTACAAACTTTGCATCGATAATATGAGTTGTTGTTGATGGGAGAACATGAAAATCTTGCAGAATATGTGTCGAAGGTTCAAAAACTCGTCCATCTCATGAAGGGTTGTGGTGAAACCATAACTGATAAGATGATAGTTGAGAAGGTAATGAGAATGTTGACCTCTCACTTTGATCATGTTATCGTAGTTATTCAAGAATCCAACAATCTTGAAACCACTAAACTGGAAGATTTGGTTGGTTCGTTGGAGGCGCGTGAGATGAGGATTGTCGAAAGGAAATGAGTGCAAGACTCGATACAGGCTCTGCAAGTTCAATCATGGAAAAAGGATGGTGGTCCCAACAAATTCAAGGCAAGTTCGACAAGACTCAGGGCAAGAAGTCTTGGTCGAAACCTCACAAACATCAGGTCGAAGATAGAGCTTCTGAATCCTCGAAAGGAGGAGGAGGAAACTATAGAAAGGGAAAAGAAGATAAAAATGTGTGCAATGCTATAACTGTGAAAAGTGGGGTCACGTAGCCAAGAATTGTTGGTACAGAAAACACAAGGGATTGACTGGCAAGGACGAAGGAGCGAACCTTGTACGCCAAGATTCAGATGATTCTGAAGGTGGTATGGTGGTTATGGTTGTAGTTGCAGATAACCATGTCGAATCCAAAATCTGGTTTCTCGACTCAGGCTGCTCGAACCACATGATTGGTCGAAAGGAGTGATTGGCAGATTTTGACGAGTCGAAGAAGAGTAAGGTAAAACTTGCTGATAATAGTTCGTTGCAAGCAGAATGTACTGGCAATATAGTCTTTCAAATGAGTAATGGAGGGAAAGCTATGATCAAAGGTGTGCTTTATGTACCTGGAATAAAGTGCAACTTGCTAAGTGTTGGACAACTAGTCGAAAAAGGTTTTTCAGTTGTTATGAAAGACGGAGTTTTGAAATTGTTCAACACCAATAACAATTTGGTCTTAAAATCTCTGTTTTCGAAGAATATGACATTTAAGACTATGATCAGTTAGATTGAAGCTCAATGTTTGAAAACTATTGTTGACCATAATGTCGATGAAGAAACTGATGAAGTAGTGGTCGAAGGAATTGTTGAGAATCTAGTCAAAGTCGGAGAAGAAGCAGTTTCTGACATTCCCGACACAGTCGAAGTCGAAGCAGAAGCAGTTGCTAACATTCCTGACACAGTTGAAGTCGAAGAGGTTGTGCTGAAACAAGCCAAAGACCTCAAAGAAATAGAGTAATGGTAGCATTGGCATACAACCAAGGTTGGTCGACATTTCATTCAGATGTGAAATCAGCATTTTTGAATGGTCCTTTAGACAAAGAGGTCTATGTCACATAACCTCCAGGGTTTATGATTCAGAAGGAAGCGAGTAAGGTATATAAGTTGCACAAAGTGCTCTATGGCCTCAAGCAGGAACCTAGGGCATGGAACAAGAAGATCGACTCATACTTGGGTGAATTGGGGTTTGTCAAGTACAAATTTGAGTATGGTGTCTATGTTCAGGTTGTAGCACAAGATATAACAATCATATGCTTATATGTCGAGGTGTAGAGTCACGGTCCTTGGCTCGAACATAGTTAGATGGTGAAGTTTTTCACAATAGTGATTTGTATTCTAAGGTGTTTTATGACACTGATTCTGAAGTTAAGAGTTCATTATGAATATTTATCTTTGATGTTTAAGGTTGTGACAAATGGATCACGATTATTGATATAAGTTATCCCATTTCTTCTAGATATAGTGTGATATTTGTCTCATTGTTCCATTACTAATCTGTAACATATGTAAGGTTTATGTGGAGTACATTTCACTGTTACACAACCAAGGTTTAAATTGAAGTGGCTAAGACAATTATGATATTAATTGGTGAAATTCTAAAGATGATGAAACGTCTTGAACCACCTGTTGGGGATGAAATGTCTTATAAAAATCACAACATCATAGAATACTTCATGATAAAAGTAAAAAATATCATATAGTGTAACAACAAACCATTATAACAAAACTAAAATGGTCCACCACGATCAAAGTGTGATATATGTGATTCCAAAACATAAATCTCACCATCAGGTTTTAGGATACCCATGAGGTTATAATTCAAAAGAGTTATCATTTGCATCCACTACCAATCAGATGTAGGAGGCAGTGGAATATCATCGGAATGTCCTCCAAGAGACGAAGGTCCAAAAACGTCTGTAGGCTCAGTTGAGCTATAAGGGATGATGAAAAATGGTATGATACAACGAGATGCAACGTGTACACCCTGACGGACTCTTGGTACATAGAATCATCCACCAATTATGCATAAGTCTCTCGGAGCCAAGAGAGACAAAATGAGCACCCTTGTTAAGTTTAAACGCCCATAATATCATCCCACGTATAACCTTCAAGTATGTCCATGCACTAATAGTTGCAAGATTTATGCTCATCAATGAAAGGGTGAACAAGTTTTCAACAAGAGGGAGATGGAATAGACTAGAGACATCGTGCATGGTAATAGTCTTCTCACCAAACGGAAGATGAAATGCAAATGTTTCCTTATGCCATTGCTAAAAAAAATAGATAATAATAAAGCATCAAGCATGATTAGAAAAAAACCCACCAGTGGGAGGAGGCCAACCTCTAAATTGTCGAGAATTATTCCAGCTTCAAATTATAAGTAGGGACCTTTAATGGGATATAGTCCTCTAACAATTAAAGCATAAACCACCAGTTACTTTGAATTAATGACTGATACATTAAATTAAAAAATGTATACCTCTCCCTTCCATAAACTGAAGGCAATGTAATTGACATACCTAATCAATAATGTAAGATCGGAGGTCCCTCCAAGGAAACTCTCATCTATATGAACATCACAATCATCACATGTATCATCCTAATCAGACACCTCTCTACCAGCCTTTGGCTCAATATTATCATTTAAAACAACTTATACCTCTTCATCGTCTCCTCTAAAGCGACCAACTCTAGCTCCTCTATGGAGGAAAGTACATGGTCCCTGAGTATCTATGAATCTCCAACAGTGAGAACAGATGGGAACTAATCTACCCGTCGTAGTGTGCAAGTGATTGTGACCATCATATGCATTGTCTCCACCAAAGCTCTCTACAACATTCCTAACATGTCAGCCTTTCACTATAGGTATGATTTTACCATCTTTTCCTTGTTGTCTCAATAAAAA